CTGAGGGAGAAGGTGGCGATGGTGAAGGTGATCAAGATGGTGAGTGTCTCGGTGGTCAGGGTGGCAATGCCATTGAAGACCGACTTGGCGAGGGTACCGAAGACCATGATGACAGCGACCAGTAGTTTTCTTTCAGACTTTTTGTGCATTTTTGTCAGCGTGTTCACGAGCCTTTGTAAATAGTTTAAGTTTGAAATATCGAAGTTGTTCCTTATATCTTTTTTCCCTTCCTGTGGTTTTGTTTTGTACTTTTATGTTTTTTGCTTCTATTGTTTGCTCGTTTGCTTTTGTCCCTCTTATTGTTATTGTTTTTTAGTTGGCCGAGGCCTTGGAGCTGAATATTCATAGGTCGCGTGCGTTTCTTTGTTGAGATGTGGCCGAGTGCTAATAGAAGTTTGTTCGAACGAGGCCGAACGTAACCTTTTGTGAAATAGCGGTTGAGGGCTGGTAGATGTTTGTTCGAGCTTAGTAGAGCATAACATTTTGTTAAATCACGGCGGATGGCTGGTGGTGTTTGTTCGAGCGGGGTCGAACATAACCTTTTGTTAAATCAAGGCCGAGGGCCGGTAGGTGTTTGTTCGAGCTTGGTCAAATATAACCTTTCGTTAGATCACGGCTGAGGGCCGGTAGGTGTTTTTTCGAGCTTGGGCGAACATAACCTTTCGTTAGATCGCAGTCGAGGGCTGGTAGGTGTTTGATTGAGCGGGGTCGAACATAAACTTTTGTTAGATCGTGGTTGATGGCCGGTAGGTGTTTGTTTGAGCTTTGTTGAACATAACCTTTCATTAAATCACGGTCGGGGGCCGGTAGGTGTTTATTTGAGATTTGGTCGAACATAATCTTTCGTTAGATTGCGGCCGAGGGCTGGTAGGTGTTTGTTCGAGCTTGGTCGAACAAAATCTTTCATTAAATCGTGGCCGAGGGACGGTAGATATTTGTTCGAGTGGGGTCGAACATAATATTTTGTTAAATCGTGTCCAAGGGCCGATAGGTGTTTGTTCGAGCTTGGTCGAATATAACATTTCGTTAAATCGCGATCGAGGGACGGTATTTGTTGTTCGAGAGAGGTCGAACATAACCTAAATACGAAAAAGGTGTCGTGATAAATGTAAGTTTCTTATTATTTTGACATTGTTGGTTATGTTACATGTTTCAAGAAAATCACAGATATTGGGTGTTGGCTGGTGTTCCAGTCCCAGCCTTAGTCTACCTAGTCCCTTCATTGATTGACTTGGAGAGTATTGAGAAGTCGAACAATGAAATAGTAACAATGGTCCTGCCCTCGCGTACTTCGAATCAAAGTGTTCCCTTCGCCGCCTTGTTAATAACCTCCTTGAGAAATCTCAAATGGGACAAAACTCAAGTGAGGAAAAAAGAGTACGACTTGGGGGGCACTTTTTCTCTCAGAAGTTGAAGTATTTGAGGTGGCTGATGTTCTAGTTGTTTGGTAGTTGCTTTCCTTCCATTGTCTCTTGTTGGAATGAACCCTTGTTCGCTTTGGCTGTGATTTTGTACGGACCATCCAGTTTGTTCCCAGCTTGCCTTCCCGGGAGTCTTTGTTCGCTTGAGTTTTGGCTTTCAGTACGTAGTCCCCCACTTTAATCGGCCGGACCTTTGCTTTCTTGTTGTAATAGCGTTCTGCTTGTTGTTTTTGGGCGACCATTCTTATGTATGCCATATCTCTTCGTTCGTCGATTTCGTCATGTTCCTTCCTTCGGCTCTCATCGTTCGTCAATGCCTTAGGCTGGGTTCTCCTACCTCGACCGCTATTACTGCCTCGGTCCCATAGACCAACGAGTAGGGCGTCTCTTATGTACTCATCTTCGGAGTTGTTTGGTAGGCCTTTAATATGTCTGGTTGTATTTCCGGCCACAATCCCTTAGCGTTTTCGAGCTTTTTCTTCATAATGTTTTGTATGGACTTGTTAGAGGATTCTTCTTACCCGTTACCCGCTGGGTGATATGGGTTGAGAGTATCCTCTTTATATGCCATTTCTCGAAGAACTCGGTGGTTTTCTTTCCCGTGAACTGGGGTCCGTTGTCACAACTGATCTCCTTGGGTAGGCCGAATCGGCAGATGATGTTTCTCCATATAAAAGTGATTACCTTTTGTTCCTGTATTTGAGCGAATGCTCCTGCTTCCACCCATTTAGAGAAATAGTCAGTTAAAACCAAAAACAATAGTATATTACCTCACCCTGCTAGGAGAGGGCCTACGATGTCCATTCCTATTTTATGAACGGCCAAGGGGAGGTAACCAAGTGGAGGTGTTCGCCTGCTTTGTGAATCATTAGGGCATACTTTTGGCATTGTTCACATTCCGTCATGAAGTCTGCGGCGTCCTTTTTCATGTGGGACAATAGTATCCCGCCCATATGAGGCATCCGACCAGTGCTCGATTGCCGGAGTGAGCACTGTAATGGCTTTCATGGACTTCTTTGAGGATGCGCTGGGTTTGCATCGGGCCTAAACATTTCGCCAGAGGGCCGCCGTAAGTCCTCTTGTATAGGTCGCTATGAAGGAAACTCTATCTGGCCTCTTGTATTCTTAGTTTCTTGGCTTCTTTCTTGTCGCCTGAGAGTGGACCGTCCTGCAAATGTGCGATAATACGATTGCGCCAATCCCAAGTTAAGTTTATGGTTCTTACCTCGATTTGGTCTAGTGATGAGTTGAGAAGATAGACTACGCTTTTATCCCTGGTCGTGATGCTTTTTGTAGCTGTGGCTAGTTTTACGAGGCCATCTGCTTCGGTATTCTGCGCCCGTAGGATATAGGTGAGCTGGTATTCGTTGAAATCAGGTAATAGCTTGTAGATTTCGGTCTGGTTTTTTGCAACCTTTGTTCCTTGATTTGGAAAGTCCTTGTGACTTGGTTGACTGCCAACTGGGACTCACTGGGTAGTTTCAACCATTTCGCCTCATACTTGAGCGCTAACCTCAACCTTACAATTACGGTGTCATACTCGGCCTCATTGTTAGTCATATTCGGGCACCTTATGGACTGGAGAATTAATTCGCCTATAGGTACCTCGAGTATGAGTCCTAGTCCAGACCCTGATGCGTTAGATGCGCCATCGGTGTATAGGACCTAGAGGTCTTGTATTTGGAGGGAATCTTGGACAGCTTCCCTTCGACTTCAGGCATTATTTTTTCACTAAAGTCGGTAATAACTTGTGACTTTATCGCCGTTCACGGCTGGTATGTGATATCGTGCTCACTTAGCTCAATGGACCATTTGGCCAGCCTCCTCGATAGCTCGGGTTTATGCAAAATGCTCATCAGGGGAATGGTTATGACGACTGAGATGAGGTGGCATTAGAAATACTATCTAAGCTTTCATGAAGCTATGACCAAGGCCAGAGCCAAATTTTTGAGGTGCGGGTACCTCGTTTCGGCATCAACGAGTGTTTGCTAATGTAATAGGTGGGAGATTATGTACCTTTGTTTTCATGGATCAAGACTGCGCTTACCGCTAACTCGGAGATGGCTAGATAGACGAGGAGTTGCTCCCCAGGTTCGGGTTTTGAAAGTAGGAGTAGTGATGATAGGTATGCCTTCAGTTCTTGTAGAGGCTCGGCGCACTCGGGAGTCCATTTGAGGCCATTGTCCTTTTTGAGTACGCCAAAAAATTTGTGACATCTATCCGACGACCGCGAGATGAATCTCGATAGGGCGGCGATTGGACAATCAACCTTTGGACTTATATTTTTGTGGTTAAGAGTTTGATATCCCCTCGATAGCTTTGATTTGGTCTGGGTTGACCTTGATCCCTCGCGGCGACACCAAAAATCCCAAGAACTTTCCCGAGGCTACTCTAAAAGCGCATTTCTCCGGGTTGAGCTTCATTCCATATTGTCTTAGTATGTCAAAAGGTTCTTTCAGATGATCGATGTGATCCTCTGGCTTTTCGGACTTGACCAACATATCGTCTATGTATACCTCTATGGTTATACCGACTCTTTTAACATCTTCTTTACCAATCTTAGATATGTAGCCCCCGCAATTTTCAACCCAAATGGCATGACCCTGTAACAGTACGTTCCTTAGTGGATGATGAACGTGGTCTTCTTCCTCTATAAGAATTTGGTTATAGCCTGAGTAAGCATCCAAGAAACTCAATAGTTTATGACCAGCTATTGCATCGATGAGTTGGTCGATATAGGGGAATGGGAATGAATCCTCCGGACATGCTTTTTTCAAGTCTGTGAAATCCACGCACATTCGCCATTTCCTATTTTTCTTTTTTACCATCACTACATTGGAAATCCACTTGGGGTACTTCGACTCCCTGATGGAGCCTTTTTTTAACAGTTTTTCCACCTTGTCGCGAACTGAGTCGTTGATGGTGGAATTGAATTTACACCTGACCTGTCTTACTAGGGGTGGAACGGGTCGACGTTTAATTTGTGTGTGGCGATTTCCCTTGGGATGCCCGACATATATACATGGCTGAAGTCAAACAAATCTATATTAGATATTAAGAATTGATTGAATTTACCTGGATCCCAGAGTTTGCAGCCGATGTAGGCCTTTTTACTATGGTCGAATCTGTAGCCTCGACCGTGCCGGGATCAATGATAACGTCCCAGGTCTCTTCTTGTGTCGACATCGACCCTATTGATTGCTATGCATCTTTTTGTTTGTCTTTATTCTTTTGGGTTGTCGTGCTGTCTAAGGCAATGTGGTAGCATTCCCGGGACGTGCGGGGTTCTCCGTGTATGCTGAATATTCCCCATGGTGTTGGAAATTTAATTACTTGGTATAGGCTGGAGGGGATGACTCTTAGGAGATGTATCCATGGTCGTCCCACGATGGCGTTGTACATGGTGGCTTGGTCCATGATGTGGAATGTCATCTCCAGAGTCACGCCGCCGGTCAAGACGGGGAGTGTAATTTCTCCAGACGTCCGTTCAACTACATTATTAAAGACGGTTTGCGTGATGCCGTGCAGCACTATCTTGTCCTAGAGTCTCCTTTGGATGAGGACTCGGGAGTGGATAATTCATGCTCCACTTCCATCTTCCACCATGATGCATTTTACATCGGTATCTAAAATATTTAAAGTAATAACAAGGGCATCATTATGAGGAAAAGTCAAACCGTCGGCATCCAACTCATCGAAGATGATACTTTCTTTGAGTCCGTCGTGCCGTTCGCGTGTGATAGACCGCTTGAGTTTGTGAGTAGTGGTGAATTTCACGTCGTTGGTAGAGGTGTCATCGCTGCTGCCGATGATCATATTGATAGTACGAGCTGGTGATGGCGGCTTCGGCGGGCCTTGGTGTCCACATCCTCTGGAAAAATTGGTTCTCATCTTGTCACTTAACATCGCTTTGAGGTATCCCTGACGCAACATGTTTACGACTTCTTGACTGAGGGCGATGCAATCTTCAGTTTTGTGCCCACGTTCCTGGTGGAACTCATAGAAGGCGTCAGATTTTCTGGTGTTCGAGTCTAGTCTCATCTTCGGCGACCACTTCACCTTTGTTCTGAGTTTCTCAAGAGCGTAGACTATTTATGTAGGTGACACACAAAAATTGTGAGCAGATAATAAAGGGGCATACCTCTTTCGTTATGGTGAGTCATAGTCCTTGGCCGGGATGGACCTTTCTCATAGCAGGGGGAGGCGCGGAACCATATGATCCCTTCTGTTGTTGTCATTCTTTTCTGGATTCGGCTTGTACCAAGGTTAGCCGGTGAATCGGTCTGTTGCGGTCGTCCTTGTCTGCTCGAACCTCGGCACAATAAGCATTATGGATTTCATCCCAAGTGGTTAGAGGATATTTCATTAATCGGGTCAACAGTTTTCTAGTCGCTCTTGAACTATCTCTACACAACCCATTCTGGAAAGCTGCGACTGCCATCCCTTCGGATACGTTCGGCAGAGTCGTCCTTACTGTGTTGAATCGGGCGAGGAAGTCCATTAGTGCCTCTCCCAAGGACTGCTTGATAGCAAATATTTTGTTTACTCTTGTTTCGGCCTTCTTGGATTTGGGATGGGCAGTTACAAACTTGTCGGCCATTTCCTCAAAAGTTTCTATGGAGCGGGCTGGTAGCTGTGAATACCATGTTAATGCCCCTCCCATAAGGGTTTTGCCAAACTTCTTCAGCAAGATAGAGGACACTTGTTCCTTGGCGAGGTCGTTCCCTTTCACGTTTGTGACGTAATGAGTCACATGATCCTTAGGATCGGTCGTTCCATCGTATATCCTGAAGTAGGGCCACATTTTGAAGGTCTTTGGTATAACATGTATGGCTCCGTCATCACTATATGGCTGCTCCACGAACCTGCTGTCGTCCCTTTTTGGCAACAGCTTAGGAGCGCCCGGTATCTTGTCGACTCGTTCTTGGTGTTCTTTCATCTGGTCACGGAGTGCTTTGTTTTCATTCTCCATTTCTTTCATTCTCTTTAGAACGGTGATGATGGCATTGTCACTTGCACTATTAGTAATATTGTGAGTTATACCTATCGTTGGAGGGTTTGGTCGGTTGCACTGCTTGTCTGTTTGTTGTATCATTCAAGCTCTTGCGATTTCTGCAGTCATGCCTGGAGTATGTTTGTTGAGGACGCTCACTAGTGTGTCGGTCAGCCATGCTTCGAGGGGTTTTTTTCACAACTGGGGGTGTCCCTTCTTTGACAGACGTGGATGCTATTTTTCCACTGGGTTTTGTTATGCTGTAGTGTGGTGGAGGCGACCTCTCGCGCCTAGGGGACGCGTTGGGTGTCACGTCCTCGCCTATTGTTTCTCATCTTTCGTTGATAACATTCATGAGGTTGCTAGGGAAATTACTTTCTTTTTTTATCCTTTCCCCTTGGTTACCTGCCATGTAGGGTTTTGTATGCACAAAGAAAGGACATCTCGGGGTTTTTGATGTTAGTGACTTTGCATTAATTGTAGATCTAGCGGAAACTAAAAATTTAACTAAGAAATTCCCACAGACGGCGCCAAATTATTTGACAAAAAAATATAGATCTTGCATGGTTCAACTAATTAAATTTATATAAATGAGAGTTAATCTTAGTTAATAATAATATCCCAAAGATATAGTTCTCAGGATTGCAATAAATACTACATAGAAATATTTTAATGGCAACGACAACACACAACAATATTGAAGAAGTCAAAGGAAATAATGTAGCATTAAATATTGATGAACAACAATAAATGGCATTCAAGTAAATAGAACGAATGAGTCACCCAAGAAAGGATGGAACCAGTGAATGTTCTTTCTGACAACGATGAATGATGGATAATCCTTTGAATATCTGAGTTCTTCTCGGATCCAGTGAAAAAGTGTATTTAAGAATCTTAGTGAAAATGTAATGTTTGTATGCTTGCAATAAGATGTAATTCTCTCTCTAAAGTCAAAGTGTATTTTACAAATGGATGTCGCATGTCCTCTATCATTGCGTCTCTTTGTATTTATAGGTAACATGTTGTTAAAAACCCTAATAGTACAAATACAGAGAATATCCACTAGAATATTTTTTTTTATGTCCTGTTTTGAAACTAGCCGTTGTAACTCTGTCAAGGGTGCTCGACATCGGCCTCGATCTTTGATGACTCTTCAACTCAGCCCTTGCTGACTCTTCGACCGCAGCCTTCGTTGTTAATTAGATTACTTTGACACGTGGCGTCTCAAGAATGTTTTACTAATACCATTTCGACTAAAGATAGATTTTGACTCATACAGAACCATCTCTTTCTTTCGAATTGTTTTGTCTCGTGTGAAAGAATTGGAACAATCAACCAAAAAACTTTAACCTTTTGCATGAATGGATCCATAATTTGAAGGCAACAGCCAACAGGTGCGAACTTTTTATGTGTGTATATACGCACACATAAACCTTTGGTTGGATTTCGCAGAATAATGTTAAACTTACTGAATTCTCATAAATACCAACGTGAAGTATCATATGCCTCAACACATTGTAATGTTCACATCAGAATATATGTTTTATGAACTACCTGTATAAAATCATTTTACACAATGTTGTTTGCATGACTCTCAAATGTATAAACCTACATGTAAATGTAGATGGGGCTTGTAGGTGACCTAATTTTTAAATACTTTTTAATCATTAGTATAAATTACTTGCTCTTTGGGTTACTCTTATTAATAATATACGTGTATAATGAGTTCACATGTTTATATTTAAGTCTTGTTTTTCTTTATAAAAAAAGGCATAAATAGCCTAAAAATCAACTTTATGGCCAATTATAAATGTTCTTTTATTTATATGACAATTTTCGTAGAAGATCGATATAATATAACACAGAAAGTCGATAAATAAAATACTCCATAGAATATCTTTGTAGATCTCTTTCTTATGTTCAAACTCTAATTGGCTATAGGAGGTCATTTTGTAGAAAACTGAGGTAGAAAGGACAATAATTTCGGTATAGAAAGTAGAAAATTTTACATGGTATAACTAAATTATACACTATATTTATTAAAAATAAATATATTTTAAACTATATAATACATAACTGCATATTGGGTTTTATAGCAAATACTTTCTCTAAGAGATTTCTAACCCTAAAGTAACTTTTTCCTCTCATCCTCCTTTTACCTTCGTACTATAGCCTAGCCGCTTCCCACATCTCCCTTAAACTCTATCTATCTCTTTGGTGTTACAATCTCGTCGGAGAACCACCGCCAGCCTAACCCGTCAGAACACTGTCATCCGACTTCATTTTTATTTATTTTCTCCTTTGTACTCTCTCTTCTCTCACCCGCTATGAAAATTTCTCAATTTAGTACCTCAAATTCCTCAATTCAGATCGGCCTCGTCATTACCTCCACCGCTGCCTTCATCTCTGGTTGGAATTCATGGCCAACTGATCAAATCTCTCATATCCGAGTGCATTTTCTCAAATCTGAGTGTATTTCTCAGATTTGAGTATATTTTATTTCTTGTGGTCAAATTAAATACAATGAAATATACATTATGGCCGATTTTATATTCGTCTGACCGGATTTTGGTAGTTACAATATGATAGTGTATTCTCAAATATGGTCGAATTTCTGTTTGCCTCCATTTTTAATTTTAATACAGTGTATATAGTGTTTTGTTTGGCCAAAAAACGTCATCTTTGACGAACTTTCTTCTCTTCTTTGCTAGTGAGTCACATATGACTATACATTTATTTATAACTAGTACTAGTAGAGATGGGCAGATGGCTAACCGGCCCAACTAACACCTATGAAACCATGAGTCAGGAGACTCGTTCTAGGACGGACGCTAAACCACATTATTTTGTTTAGCGTTATTTTGTTACTAAACCACATTATTTTGTTAATTGACTAACCTTTCTTTTCTTTTCTTTTTGTTACTAAATCAAATTATTTTGTTTGATTTTTTATCATTAGATCATGCATTTAATCCTTTATGTCACATTCTTTGTCATAACCTAAAATCTCACATGACGTGATGGTGCCTATCGCAGTACTAGGCAAGCCAAAAATTCACAAATAACCACACATCTTTAAATTTAAAACATAAGAAAAAAAGCTTAATAGTGAAAATCTCATAAATAAATGATAAGAAAATATCGCGACTCAATACAAAATCCCCCAAAATCCGGGTGTCACTAAGTACATGAGTATCTATATGACAATACAGTTGTCACGACCCAAAATCCAACTAGTCGTGATGGCACCTAACCCAACCCGTTTGGTAAGCCAACCATTCACTATCCAATTCCAATGTAATTTCACAAGACAATTAAGTAAACGAAAATATCTAAATTTTATACATTCCCCAAGGACTGGTATTACAAATCATGAGTTTCAAAGAATGGAGTATAGAAAGCTGGTATGAAGTAATACATCATCTGTCTTAAAAGTACATAAACAGAATTTTATGATTCTAAGGCTACCATAAATAAGAGGCAGCTACAACCGGAACGCAGGTACATTTTCCGATCCAGCTCCCAACGAACACATCAACATCAGCAGCCAACATCTGCACGCAAGGTGCAGAAGTGTAGTATGAGTACAACCGACCTCATGTACTTAATAAGTAACAAATCTAACCTTAGGTTGAAAGTAGTGACGAGCTTGTACCAAGGTTGGGTCCACCACCAATAACCAACAACAGTTCATAACAACATAAAGCAAGTAACAAAAGAAGTAACTCAGAGATAAAATACTTAGCTTAATCCTGATTTCTGAAAATAGTTCTGCCTTCCAAGTACAACAGTGAAAAACCAAATCGTTTATCGAAGTTGCCAAAATAAGAATAAGTTTGAAAATAGTACATTTTCCCAAAAATCCTTTCAATAATAAATAAGATGTCTCTTTATCTTTCCAGATAACCAGGGGAAAATGCATCACTATGCCCATATGCCAAAATATGTGAGAAGTCATGAATGACGTGATACCGTACAACATGAGAAAAATACATCTCTATGCCTGTATGTCAAATGTGCATGTCAATGCGATACAACTCAGTGATAA